TTTTTTTTTTTTTTTTTTTTTTTTTTTTTTTTTTTTTTTTTTTTTTTTTTTTTTTTTTTTTTTTTTTTTTTTTTTTTTTTTTTTTTTTTTTTTTTTTTTTTTTTTTTTTTTTTTTTTTTTTTTTTTTTTTTTTTTTTTTTTTTTTTTTTTTTTTTTTTTTTTTTTTTTTTTTTTTTTTTTTTTTTTTTTTTTTTTTTTTTTTTTTTTTTTTTTTTTTTTTTTTTTTTTTTTTTTTTTTTTTTTTTTTTTTTTTTTTTTTTTTTTTTTTTTTTTTTTTTTTTTTTTTTTTTTTTTTTTTTTTTTTTTTTTTTTTTTTTTTTTTTTTTTTTTTTTTTTTTTTTTTTTTTTTTTTTTTTTTTTTTTTTTTTTTTTTTTTTTTTTTTTTTTTTGTTAAGCACAAATAGAAATCGACGTATGAATCTATGTTATAACGACGGTAATTCAAACGACGTGGTTAGTGTTTAAAACGACGCAATAATAAAATAAACCGACGTCTATGCTATAATTAAAGAAACAGAGTTGTGATTCCAGATTTAGATCTTTCACGACGTTTTTTAAAATATTTCGACGTAGTAAAATCATTCACACGACGGAAAAATATAACATAAGACGTAATAAGAATTATACACAGTTTAATAAAAATTTAAAACAGAGTGTGTAGGCTTACAATTAATTTTGCTTTCTCTGCCACCTTTGGATCCGGGATGTTACCATGTTTGTCCTGTCTAGCTTTCTTCCATAAGGTAGATCGATCAATTTCTACCCCAGGCATGGTTTCCTCCAATTGATCCTCCAAACCAGCATATCCTTTTCGAGACAATCGATGATTGTACTCAAGTTTCTCCCTAATCTGTGAATGTTGAGAATGCACAGACTCAAATTCTTTGGATAACCTTGAAGCTACAAAGGCATCCCATTCTGCTTTCTCTATGAATTTATATACTTCAGGGGGTTGGCTTAATTTCTCCCTCTCCTTGATGTATGGAAGGATATAATGCCTCGTCAGTGTAGACTTGAAATCCTTCCATTTCTTGGCAGCAGAAGATAACACCGAGGTCTTGCCCCCTTGACCTACCACAAAAGCCATGTCAACGGCTTCCCAAATCTGCTCCTTTATATCCTTGGGGATTTCAGCCCATTTCTTGTCCACAAGTGGGACTCTGGAGCGTGCCAACACACCAATGTAGGACTGCATCTCAGTATGTGCAGGGCCACATCCTTTCCCCCTTTATTGTACTCAACAACTGGCTTGATTTTCTGCAATTTTCTCTTCACAACACGAGGCATTGTGCTCATACCTCGACCTGACTTTGAATCCTCAGAAATTGTTGTCGTGCTGGTTGGTTCTGTCTCAGCAGATGAAACAAACTTCATCTTCTTCAAGGGCTTGTCTTGAGGAGTTACCATTCCAAGCTCCTTACCTCCATTTTTTTTGGAGCCAGAGTACTTACTTTGGTCTTGAGAAACCATGGTTACAGAAAAAACAAACCTGCAAGTGAAAATATTTCGGGAAAAAAATTAGAACACAAACGACGGTTATTTATAAACTACGACGTATGATAAGATTTTACACGACGTAATAACATAACATCAGACGTAATAAATGTTTAAAGAAGAAACAATATAAATGTTTAAACAACGACGAAACAATATTAAATAAGACGTAATAAGAACTTATTACGGCGATATTTACACGACGTCGTGATATTCATATTAACACGACGTAAATATTAATATAACGTCGTGTTATGGATATTCACACGACGTGAATAATAAGCTACCGTCGTATTTATAAGAAACCAAAAACATTTTTCTTTCTCTGTGAATGTTTGATTGCAGGTTTAATTTCTCTGAAACATGGTTTTTGTTTTTCCTAATTTGATAAAATACAAAGAAAAAAAGCTTTGGCATCTTTTTATAGACGACGGTATCTTAGTATAACGTCGTGGTATGAACATTCACACGGCGTCAATAATAAGATACCGTCGTCTATATAAGATACCAAACCCTACTTTCTTTGTCTCTGTATTTTATCAAATTAGGAAAAACGAAAACCATGGTTCAGAGAAATCAAACCTGCAACTAAACAAGCAAATAAAAAATTGACCGTCATTTTAAAAACAACTTAGATCAATTTTAAGACGACGCTAGGACGACTGACGAACCGTCGTGGTCTACATATTTAACCACGTAAATAAGAAGCTACCGTCGTCTTATTTAGTTGAATTAGTTGTGTTCAAAGTTGAAACTTTCCCTCTCTGTCTGTGTATTTTATCAAACTTGGAAAGAATAAAAATGATTTTCGCCAGAAAAAAGGTAAAAAGATTTTCAAAACAAAAACCGTATGAGCATGCAAAATAGCAACAAAAATAGTGAGAAATGAAAGCTTACCTTTTGCGTGCAATGAAAGCTTTCTCTCGGATTTTGGTGTTTAAGTTCAGAGGCGACGACGAAGACAAGAGGAAGACGATGAGATACTCTGACAGTGCTCTGACAAGGAAAAAAGACGAAAAGTTTTCTCTGGGAGATTGAAATTTTTCTCGGGTTTGGAAACAGTGCATGTGTAAGTCAGGTAGACGAAAAGTTGTATATGTATACAAACCGTTTCATAGTAATAAGACGGCGGTTTACATAGAACGACGACGTATTAATAGACAAACTACGACGTTAATTTGAACTTATGACGTGGTACATAAATACGACAGTAGTGTTGTAGGTACCGCCGTAGTAAACTCCTAAATAAAAGTCGATAACTCAATATCTCGCGTCATGGTAGAAATATTTAACACGACGGTTTTTTAAATTTACGACGTTTATTTTATAATATACGTCGTTTTATTGTAATATACCGACGTGGATAACACTAAACTAAAACGACGTATTATTTTTTCACGACGTGGATTCGTTTTTAAACGTCGTTATGTGTAATATAACCGACGTGGATTTTATTTTTTTATTATAAATATAATTTTTTTCCCCTTTTTCTTATAGTTTATTTTTCAAAAACAGTGCCTTATAGATATAGTTTTTTTTCCCGAGGAAATTAATGTTCTAGAATTTGTAAAGTTTCTTTTCTAGGTGACTGATTTAAATCAAATAAAAATATAAAACAACGACTGTTTTTGTTATACCGTCGTCGTTTCTTGTCGTCTTAAGTAAGAATAAAACGACGTAATGTATTTGTTACCGACGAGGATTATTTTTGTTAAAACGTCGTTATGTGTAATATAACCGACGTGGATTTGGTTTTTTAATTATAAATAGGGTTTTTTTCCACGGGTTCTTTCAGTTTTAGTATTCGATTAGGGTTTCAACTTCTTCTTGCCCCTTTCTCTGTCTCACCTCATCTCTTGGGAGGCAATTGTTTGAATGTTGGTTATCTGTGGCTGATTGCAAATCACCAATTTTCAATAAATTGTCTCTCTGATTGCAAATCTGTGGCTGCCGTCGTGAAGTTTTAGGAGGCAATTGTTTGGATGTGAATGTGTGTGTGCGTTTGTGTAGATACACAAACGCACATACATCATTCACTTCCAAAAAATTGTCTCTCTGATTGCAAATCTGTGGCTGCCGTCGTGAAATTTTAGGAGGCAATTGTTTGGATGTTGATGTGTGCGTGCGTTTGTGTAGATACACAAACGCACACATATCATCAACTTCCAAAAAATTGTCTCTCTGATTGCAAATCTGAGGCTGCCGTCGTCAAATTTCAGAAGCAATTTTTTGGATGTTAATGTGTATGTGCGTTTGTGTATCTCAAAGACACAAATACACATACATCATTAACCTCTAAAATATTGTCTTTCTGGTAAGATTATGATGAGCAACAGAGTTCCATCTTGTAAGATTTCCTAACCCTTGTGATCTCAGAATAATCTGATTATGTCGGCGGTTTTCTATATAAACCGTCGTGGTTATTTCAATTCTTGTCGTTAAGTAGATCTACCGACGTAGGATAACAAAATCCAAGAAATAAATTGTTAAAAAAATTCTTATTCAGACGACGGTTTAAATATAATGTATGACGTATAAAGTGGACAAATACGACGTTAAATTGTATAATACGTCGTTATATGAAAACCCCAACTTGGTAAGATTTAAAGATGTCGTCGTAGAAATACGAGAAAGACGTCGTTATATTTACCTTTGCCGTAGTTGTACATTAATTTAATACGGCGGTATTTTGTATTTTACCGCCGTGGATTTATTTGTAATTATACGGCGCCTTATACGAAAACTTGGTCGTGTTAATTTCTGGGTAAAAACGACGGCTTTTTGTGAAACCGTCGTCTTTACTTTCTACGTCGGTCGGTTCATAACTTCCGCCGTTATTTGTTGGCTATGATTTTACCACTTGAAAATCCTATTTCAATAAGACGTCGGTTTTTAATTAAGTACGTCGTGTTTTAGGAACAGCCATTTGAAACTCCATTTTTTAGTTGTCTAATGTGTTATTACACGGCGGTTTTATAAAACCGTCGTCTTTTAAAAAACAACGACGGTTTTCACTTAGACCGTCGTGTTTTTCTGGTCGTCTTTTTCACTTTTTGTAGTAGAGTGTATTGTACCAAAACTTTTGCTTGTTAGTGAAGTTAAGAAAAGCAATGGCATAACATGCTGCATCAAATACAGAGGTTGTATACAAAGAATCATAACTAGTTCATAGAAACTTCTTTAGTTTCCAGTGCATATTCATGAGAGAAAATAGGTCAATAGACTTAAATAAACAAAACAAAATCACCAGACTAAAGCAAACTTGTCAATGACCATGCATAATGAAAAGAGCAAGTCTAAGAGAAACAAAAAATGCTACATTAACCGATATCACCTAACTAAATGTGCTAATATTGAAGAGACCAAAATCCATCCAAAGGCACGCTGCACCGCGCCCTCAACATCAAATTTTGAATTGATTGCCTGATGAGCAGAAGTTCTTAGAAAATATAAAGAAAAGGGACGGGTATTTGGAAGGCGCCATCGCACACTATTTCTATGCATCATTATTGGGTAATCAAACACAACTCTTTTCCTGAAAGCTTCCTGTAAACTGCAGAAAAGCTCTCCAGCTTGTACTCCGTGTTGTTTCGTTCCTTGGATCCAAGAAAACCTGCCCAGCATTGAAGATAGATAATTATGGTACTTAACAAACAAAATCCTACCCTTGACAACCTATGTATGTACTTTAATAATAAATCCATTATAATATCCATCCCACCTAAATGTACTACGTTCTCAATTCATCTATTCCATTGGCAGTTTTGGACATCTTCGTAACAAAATCTTCTCTTGGGTATAAGGTTCTTAGCCTTCATCTTTCAAGCATTAATCAACCCCTTTTTTTTTCCATTTCCAAGTGTTGTGGTGTGTGGTGTCTATATATCAAACAAATGTTTTCCTTCGACAGCTTACCTTCATTATCTTGGACCCATCAAGTCGATATCTAGTTCGTTTACCAACAATCTCAGCAGGCAAAACAACATCCTCCAACATTGCCTCATGCACAGCAGTTAGAGTACGAGTGCGGGGCCGTTGGACAGCAGACCCTTTCTTTGGAGGCCTCACTATCCTCCGTGTGGCGATCAGAACTACATCCTACCACATGAAAAACAAAATAAACACCACCAAAGAAAACCACTATTTGCAAATAAATACATTCTGAATCAGAGATCTACTCACTTTAATTATAGCAAAATGAAGTAGAGAAGAAAAAATAAAATGGGTTGACTGTAAGAAAAGTCAGCTAGGAAGATCAGAACTAGGAACTAAAACTAAAAATAAAATATCCTTGATTGTAAGGCACTAAATGTAGTGCCTAGAAACAAGTACAGAAAAACATCACAAAGAAAACCTAGTCTGGGTTAAATCTAGATTTCAAAATGGCAGAGAACCAAAGAACTTAAATAATCACCTTTCCACTGAATTTCTTCTCTAGCTCCCTCACATCCGAACATGGATCTTGCGATAAGCCTTCCTAAGTCTATATGGTATGTGGATAACAACCGCCTTCCGGTTCCCAGCCACATCAACTTGACTGGAGAAAGGAGGAATATTAATCGTACAATCGACAACAGTTTACAATAAAAGTCATTCAGTAGACAGTTCATACACAGCTGAATTGTATATAGATCCTTCAGTTCACTTTTCAGGTCCGAGTTTGTTTCCAAATCAAAGATTGCCTGCACAGACAACAAACAACTCATGATTATATCTAAACATCATAGCAACAATTTCATCAATAGAAAGCTCAATAAAAAGCTGCTTATCTTACCTGTCCAACTGACTCTTCAAATTCAGTGGGTTCAGCGTTCTTGTCCTTGTGAATCTTCTTCCTTGACGTATACATCTTGACAAATCTGACTAAACAATAGGAATGAAACATAATTACAAACTATTTTGAAGACATGAAAAGGTCGAGAATACAATGTAGTTAACTACTCTTGAGTAAACAGTATAATCATTTTCAAAACCCCATACCCAACTGAATCAATTTTAAAATCAATTCCAAAGTCAGCTGAATAACAAATTATGAGCCCTGGTTAGCTTATGTTTCAGTATCAGTATAAGCAAAAGCAAAGGGCTTTGCTCCTTCAAAATCTCAATCACAAACAAAGACGACGCCAGTTGGTTTATCACATTTTCCCGGAAGAAAACAAATATTTCAGAATTAAATCCAACTAATTTTAGGGTTCATTTAACAGTACTCTGATGAATAAGTGCACTGCAATTGCACAAGATCGGGACCGTTGAATTTGAATGGAGAGAGAAGCAAGCACTATCGTTCATCATATTTATACACGTTGGGATTTTATGGAGACCAGTGATTACTGTGGTGACGTCACTAGTGGTTAGTGCACTACCGTCATCTATTTTCTAATGAATAATTCTACTCTCTTACCACATTTGTATACCACATTCTCATACCATTTTATGTGACAGATGAGGTGGACAAACACATAAATTAAAATTAATGTAACATTTTCTTTTCTTTTATGATTTATTAACACTTTTTAATTGATGTGGCTATTCACTTCATATTCCACATAAGATGTGAGAATGTGGTATGGAAATGTGGTAAGAGCAGCATTACTCTTTTCTAATTGTTTTTGGGTCATAATATCATATATTCTCATATCTTTTGTGATTAAAGCATCAATTCTCATATCTTTATTAAAGCAAAGCACCAATTCGCCTACTCTCTCTTGTGGGGCCAAAGAACAAGTGCCTTTCTTTTTTGGTGAACAAGAACAATTTCTTTTTGGCGAACAAGAACAAGTGCCTTTGAGTCTCCTGCGCATTTTCAGTTTCTTCATTGCAGCAGCCTGCTTTTCTGCTTAAGAGTCTCCTGCGCACCTTCAGTTTCTTCATTGCAGCAACCAGCTTCTGCTTAGATATATTTTGCTTTACTTCCAAATTAAAAATCCAATCAAAAAACCAAAAAAAAAGAGTACTGCCTTCAGATTTCCTAGTTTTCCTTTGTCCCTTGATTTCATTGTGTCGACATTGTGGTAGTTCAGCTTTGTCTCATTTACCAGACCAATTGTGCTCCCGCGTTCAGTAAGCATATTTGAAGGGAATTGACATCATTCGTAACCAAAAGAGAGAAAGGTATAAGGTGCGTCTTTTATTTCCTTATTATTATTTTTTTTTCCATATATTTGCTCTGCTATTTTATGTTCTTATTTTTGTTATGGGTAGCTTTATTTGAACATAATTAATAAATATTTCAGAATTAAATCCAACTAATTTTTTTCCTTGAGAAATTTGTCCCTTCGATTAAATAAATTTAAAAAGTTACAAAATTAAACACTACTAAAACAAAAAATTAAAGGAAAACTGTGGCCCAACTATTCTTTTTGTTTCGAGATTTGAGAGTCATGCATTTTGTTTCACTTATCTTCATTACACTTTCACTTTACAGTTGTTTCCAGAAGAAGCTTAATGAAAAAACGAAAAAGAAGTGTAGCTGTATATTTTTTCTTATTTTATTTTATGGGTAGCTATATTTCTTTTCTAATTTTAAAAACTCGTTTCTTTTCTAATTACTTTTTTCTTTTGTAATTCAACAGTTTTTGAATTCCAAAGGCAAAAATAAGAAGCATGGAGATCCTCACCGCCATTATTCCTACAATAATCGAGTACACGGTTAAACCAGTTAGCCGGCAAGTGGGTTACATAATTCACAATAAAAGTAACCTTGAAAATCTAAGGAGTCAATTAAAAAAATTAAATCTTACCAAAGAGAGGAGGGAGCAACAGTTAAGGAAGATGAAAGAAAAGGTAAACGAATTCATACTGATATCCAAGACTGGCAGAAAGTAGCAGATGAGATGATTGAAGAGGCAAATACAATTTTTGAAAAAGAAGGCCGAGCAAATACAAAGTGTTTCCGTGGAGTATGTCCTAATCTGATTTCCAATCATCAGCTCAGCAGGAAATCAGCAAAATTGGCAAGAAAGATTGAACTCCACCATGACCAAAAAGAGTTTCCCATTGTTTCATACAATGCTCCCCTAGAAGAGATATGTGCCACGCCCTCTCAAAACTACATGGCCTTTGAATCAAGGATTTCAATGGTGAAGGAAATCATGAAGGAATTTAAGAAGCCTGATTCCAACTTGATTGGCGTTTACGGTTTGGGTGGTGTGGGGAAGTCCACACTGGTCAAAGAAGTTTATAGACAAGCTACAAAAGAGGAGTTATTTGATGATGTGGTTATAGTATTGGATGCAAAACAGTTTCCAGAGCTCGAAAGAAATGAAAGAATTCAACAGAAAATTGCTGAAAAGTTAGGTATGGAAGTTCAGGGAAGTATGGATGTGCATATATGGAATAGGATAAAAGACAAGAAGAGTCTTATAATTTTAGATGATGTTTGGGAAGCAATTGATTTGGAGGTTTTGGGACTTCGCCCAATGGCGACTTGTAAAATATTGTTGACATCTAGAAATCGATTCTCTGAGATGCGTACTCAAAAAGACTTTCGGCTTGATGTTTTAGGCGAGAAAGAAAGTTGGGTTTTATTTGAGAAGATGGTGGGTGATGTTGTTAAAGATGGCCCTATAAAAAAAGTAGCAACCCAAGTAGCCAAAAAATGTGGAGGTTTGCCTGTTTTAGTTGTTGCAGTTGCAAGCGCTCTAAGATCATGTAGTACTTTAGAGGTATGGAACGATGCTTTAAGGCGCTTCAAAAGTTTTGACAAAGAGGACTTGAAAGACAAAGCGTACTTGGCTATAGAATGGAGTTACAATCAACTGGATGCTAAGGAGCTTAAGCCATTGTTCTTGCTATGTGGAATTACTGCAGGGGTTGGTTGTTCAATTTTCCTCAGTGACTTGTTGAAATATGCTATGGGTTTGAATTTGGTGAAAAATGTTGATACGGTGGAAGATGCACGGAATGCGTTGCATTCATTGGCTGAAAAACTTAAATATTCTTGTTTGTTGCTAGACATTGATGATGATGGAAGAGTAAGAATGCATGAGCTTGTACGAGATGTTGCTGTCTGGATTGCATTTAAAGATAATCACGCCATTGCAAAAGCATATGGAGATGAGCTGAAAGAATGGCCAGATAGAAATTCCCTTAAAAAATGCACTGCGATCTCCTTGAACTCTTGCAAGATCCCCAGATTTCCAGAAGAACCTTGGGTATGCCCAGAATTGAGACTTTTTTATTTGTTAAATCATAATATTGATGACTCCTTGGAAATCCCAGGCAACTATTTTGAAGGGATGAAGGAACTCAAAGTGTTGGATGTAACCAGACTGCGAATTCCGTCACTGCCTCCATCTCTTCAATCCCTAACAAATCTTCAAACTTTGTGTTTAGATCAGTGCGTGTTGGGGGACATAGCTCTAGTTGGACAGCTAACAAACTTGAAAATTCTTAGCCTTATGAAGTCCCAGGTGAAAGAGTTGCCCAAAGAAATAGGGCAATTGACTCGTCTACAATTGTTGGATTTGACTCGTTGCTCTCAACTTGTACGGATCTCACCTGGCGTTATATCAAGCTTGACAAGTCTAGAAGACTTGAGAATCGGAAGCTTTAAGAAATGGGAAGGAGGTTTAAATGATGGAAGAAGTAACGCGAGCGTGTCAGAGCTGAAACAATTGCATCAACTAACTGCATTAGACATACATATTCCAGATGCTAAGCTTCTTCCAGCAAGCATGTTCTCGGATACGAAGTTAGAAAGATACACCGTACTTATTGGTGATTGTTGGCTATTTCCTTATATTTACGAAACCTCCTCTAACATGTTAAAACTCAAGCTCACTACAAACAGTCAATTCGACCAAGGTATAAAATCGCTGCTAAAGAGATGTGAAGATTTGGACTTGGATGGGATGGAGGCTGCAAATGTTATTTCCTATATATTAGCAAGTGACAGTGGTAAACAACTGAAGAATCTCCATGTCCAAAACAACGATGCTGTTACAGCTGTCATTAACTCGAGTCATGCCTTCCCCAACTTGGAGTCACTATCTCTTTACAACCTTGTTAATTTGGAAACTGTATGTTGTGGCCAACTCATAGCTCAGCCTTTTCAAAAGTTACGATCTTTGACTTTGTGGAATCTGCCAAAGCTTATTGGTTTCTCCTCCAAAGGCAGCAGGTCAGTTGTAACTACAGAGGCCGAAGAAATAATTTCGGAGAATGAAATTGGTGGACCCACGAAACTTTTCATGGATGGAGAGGTACGTTTTGCGGTTTCATATGCCCAGCCTTTCTACATATCATTCGGATTTGTTCTATATTATATTTATTTCTTAACAAATTAGTTGCTTTTGTATATATTTCATTTTGGTCATTCTTTCTGCAGGTAGAAAATAATCCATTTAAATAATGCATATTCTTTATGCACGAATTATGTAGTACTAGGATTGAAATTATATCCAAGTTACAATTCATTTAAACGGTATATTAATTTATTAGTTTTTGATTGAGAAAGAAAAGGTATTAGCTTTTAATTAGTGTACAATATTCAATGATTCATATTATGACGAAAGCATGATCCATTCTCGAAAGTCTATTTATTAGTGTACAATATTCAGTGATTCAACAAAAATGTGTTATATTTTAAATTAATAGACTAATAAACTTTGAGGCCACTTTTTCTTTTTCAGATACATTTTTACTCCACAAGGACATATTAGACCTTTACTTTTTGTCAACTCATTTGGAATTTATACAACTGATGAGCATGTAAATTGTCATTTCCCTAATTAAACATGAATTGTGTACTATACCCAGGTTCTGATACCCAACTTAACACGCTTGATCTTGCATCAATGTGATGGTTTAAGATTCTTGTTTTCATATTCCATGGCTAGACGTCTTGAGCAACTCAAACATCTTGAGATATCCACATGCCAAATGATGGAAGAAATAGTATCAACAAGTGGATACAATCAAGAACATAGAGATAACATGTTTTGCAATCTAAAATCTCTAAATCTGCAACATCTTCCAAGCCTCACTAGATTCTACTCCGGAAGTTATATTGAATTTTCATTATTGGAGACATTGCATATTGAGGATTGTCCTAGACTGGGGACATTCATCTTTGATAGAAAGAGTGAAATTACTTCAATAGGCAAAGAAAATGACGATAGGAACTCCAAGGAGAATCTTGAGACTGTTATACCACGCTTTCTTTTTGATGAAAAGGTGAATTATAAATTTCTTTCCCTTTCTTTATGCATTTATTTCCAATTAATGTGTACCTAATTAGTGAAAAAAGGTGTTCTGACTAGTTTATGAGATGAATATACATACAGGTAGGATTTCCTAGCTTGGAGAGGTTGATCATCTATGACCTACCTGCACCGATGACAGTATGGCACAACCAACTTGCTCAAGACTCTTTTTGTAGACTGAAAGAAGTTAACGTTTACAGATGCCACAATCTAATAAATATCTTTGCACAGAGTATGATGGGAAGATTGAATGCTTTGTATAGATTAGAGATATGGCAGTGCCAGTTACTACAAGTGGTATTTGAACTCGGAGGAGTATTTGAAGCATATGACACGTCAACCACTCAGTTGAAAACTTTTGAGTGCCCAAATCTTGATTTTGTAGAGATAGATGCGTGCGAGAGGTTGATAAATATATTCTCAGCCTCTGTGGCCAAAGGTCTTGAACAACTAACGAAGTTGAGTGTTGAGAATTGTGGGTCGATGGAGATTAATGTGAAGGAAAAAGGATTAGAAGCAACGCCTAAGTTTGTGTTTCCAAAGGTAACAGTTGTGAAGTTTGAAAATCTCCCCCAACTTAGGATGTTCTATCCGGGTATGCATGTTTCTGAGTGGCCGTTACTCAAAGAACTGGAGATGACTGCATGTGATAATGTGGAGATTTTTGCTTCCGAAATTTCAAGGTTTCAGAAAAAGCTTGAATTGGGCCTTCAGTGTACACCAATTAAATATCCTCTTTTTTTAGTTGAGAAGGTAAGAATTCTCTTGCACAATTTTATATATTTTTATTTTGTATGAGATTCAACTACTAAAAATGTAATTAAGTTGTTATTTACTAAACATGAATTATGGTGTGCAGGTTCTGATGCCTAACTTAACAAGCTTGGTTGTGCGTGGATGTAGTGGTTTGAGATTCTTGTTTTCATCTTCCATGGCTAGAAGTCTTGTACAACTCAAAAATCTTACGATATCCAGGTGTCAAATCATGGAAGAGATAGTACCAACAAACGAATCCAATGAGGAAGATACAGATCATAACATGTTTAGTCAGCTACAAGATCTAAAGCTACTATATCTTCCGAACCTCACCAGATTCTGCTCAGCACGTCGTTCTATTAATTTTCATTCCTTGGAGGTATTGCATGTAGAGGATTGTTCTAAATTGGAGACATTCATCTTTGATCCCATGAATACAAATATCACAATCAACAAAGCAACTGAAGAGATCAGGGACTCCATGGAGAATATTGGGACTGATGCCTTTCTTTTTGACGAAAAAGTAAGTTATGCCTTTATTTCTCGTTATTCTTTCATGCATATTGTTTCTTGTTAGGATTGAAAATTATATCCAAGTTACAATTCATTTAAACAGTATATTAATTTATTAGCTTTTATTTAGTGTACAAAATTCATGAATCATGACGAAAGCATGATCTATTCTCGAAAGTCTATTTATAATGAAATATGATCTTCAATAGAAATGTGTTATCGGTAGCACTTCCACTAGAATATCTTATAAGAGTTAAAGTACTACAATGGGCAAAGAAAATGACAATATATAGGAACTCCAAGGAGAATCTTGAGACTGTTATACCACAATTCTTTTTTATGAAAAGTGAATTATAAATTTCTTTCCCTTTCTTTATGCATTTATTTCCAATTAATGTGTCCTGCATTAGTGAAAAAAGGTATATGAGATGAATATGTGTACATGTAGGATTTCCCAGCTTGGAGAGCTTGATCATCTGTGACTTACCTAAGTTGAGGACTATATGGCACCGCCAACTTGCCCCAGACTCTTTTCGAAAGCTAAAAAAGTTGAAGTTTTGAGATGCCAGGGTCTAATAAATATCTTTACGCCTAGTATGATGAGAAGATTGAATGCTCTAGGAACATTAGTGATAGAGCAATGCAAATCACTACAAGTAATTTTTTTTCAAATTTTTTTTTAAATTTAAATTTTTTTTAAATGATAATAAATAACTTATTTTTTCGGCTTCAAAAGTAACAAATAATCCAATTCATACATTTAGAAATTTTTTTAAGTTGAACTTGGAAAAATAGTGATTATAAAATTTAAAATACGGCATTAGATTTTAAATTTTTGTAAAAATAAAAAATAAAAATACACCACCAGTTCGGTTCGGTCCGGTCCGGTGCGGTGTGGTGTAAAACCGAAACTAGAACCGGTTCGGTCCGGTTCCGGTCTGATTTGTTGACTTTTTCAGTCAACCGATTTTTTTTTCCGATTTTTTTTCACCGGTTCGGTTCGGTGTTTCGGTTTTCTGGTCCCAATGCCCACCCCTAGTGCGCAGTGCGAGCTTGTTTTTTTTAAAACGAAGCCTGGCCAAAACAACGTCGTTTTGGACCAGGGTTTAAAAAAAAATAAAAGAAAAAGAAAGGGAAACTGCTAGCCATTTCGTGGGCTTTTCAAAGGGCTTCTATAATTCCTTACTTAATTGGATTTTAATTTGGAGTTCCCTTTATTCAATTGGATTTTGGGAATTCCTTATTTAAGTGGGATTAGAAATTCTCTTTATAAAAGACCAATTTAACATTACCCAATTTTATCAAAGTGTGTGTGCATCACAAGAATCCTGCGTTTTTTTTGTTTTTGAGTATGCCAATCCAAAGTAAGTCGAATGCATATATTTTTTTTTCTTAAGCAAACGCGAATTTTGTTTATTCTTTTTTGTTTTTTATTTTTTGAATAATTTTTTTTCTTCTTATTTAGCTCTCTATGTATTAGTAAGATCAATAGCAAACTCAAGGAGGAAGAGGCTTAGTTGTCTTTTTTGTAAAGCTCTTAACTTTAAAAAATTGCACGTCTGCTAAAAGATTCCTGGGTTCACCGATCAACTTGACTGGAGAAAGGAAGAATATTAATCATACAATCGGCAACAGTTTACAATAAGTAGTCATTCAGTAAACAATTCTTACACAACTGAATTTATATACGGATACTTCAGTTCACTTTTTAGGTCCGAGTTTGTAGAACTGTAAGTAGTGAGCTGATTAGTATAGTCTAAGCCTAGAACGATAATTGTGTATGCACTTAGTCTCTTAGAATGACAGGTGTAAGGCTCCAAAAGGTAAGGCTGAAATTGCCACATGTAGTGATCCTAGAATAGCTAGATGTATGGCTGAGATTCAATATGTTGTGTGTGAATCCAGCTAAGGCTAACGGTTGTGTAGTACAGGCCTTGTGTGCTCATTCTGATAGAGAAGCAGAACATTTCATCACTCTGCATTTCTTCATTCTTCTATTCTTTCTCTTCAACATTCCATAACTCAGCTAAAATACAAAATACTAACAGAGTTTGTTTCCAAATCAAATATAAATAAATTCCGATTTATTTATACAACATCAGTTAATGAGTCTAATGTTCTATCTTTACCATAACCCATTAAATCTGTTCATATCTCCTCCTCACTCACGTGGTCAGATAAGTTGGTTCATATAGCAACGTAATGAGAGTTTAATTAGTGGTTAAGTGCGATTGGATGAACCAGAAAGCCTTATAATCAAGGACATCCAAATCACGAAGGACACCCCAAACAAAGTAACAGAGAGGACGGAAGGGGCTAGGCTAGGCTAGGGATATTTTTCTTTTGCTTTTTTGACATTTCTTATTTTCTAGTTTCTTTTAATCAATTAAATTTTTTTTTGGACGAAAATCTTTTAATCAATTAATTTATGTTTCATTTATACAATGACAAAGTTACCATCAGAAAGTGTCTAAACACAACGTGACATTTGGGTACAACGATTTGGATGGATATTGAAAAATATAACAATAAGGACCTCATTGATTTTGCAAATATTCCATGACCAAAGTTAAAAGGAAAACAAAACTTCGATACTAAAACAAATTGACCGTGCATTCAATTTAATCAATCAAAGTACCTTGAAAATAAAAATAAAATGAATCAAATTGATCATTTATTGAGAAGCATGAGGACGCTTAATTGCTAATCCGTTAGTAAATTAATACGGCACGGCAATAACTACTCACTTAGGCATATATATTTCACCATGTAATCTCATGAACAAAACCGTTTATTTTAAAAACAAAGAAAGAAAAAAATCATTCATTTTGTAAGTCATCATTTAATGTTCTCATTTTTTGTTTACTATGTTGTTTGTAAAATAAAGTAAAGATCATATAAAGGATTGTTGTGGACCTCCCGAGGAAAAGAAAAAGCAGCTCAGCTAATGCGAAAAAAGAAAAAGTTAAAAACAATGTGTCTATGGCCCCATACGAGTGCTAGTGTAGTACTAACAAACGATAGTTATTGTTATTGATAAGGCTCTAAAGAAAGAAAGATGTGGTTCTCATTTCGCATTTCACATCAGCAGATAGTGTAATTTGATGAAGTTGACACCACAAGTGGAGTCAAGACTCAGCCATCTCCTTCCAAGCTATAATCAGAGAACAACTTCAATTACTTGGTCAAATACCCAATTCAAGAAATATTTTTGGATTTGCCACTGCATGGCCTTACATACTTATCCATATAAAAATTGTAGCATTAAAACAATAACCGAATTGTGTATGAACATGTGTATTGTCTTTTAGGTTTTCACCTCTTCGATTAAAAGCAAATGGATCTTATTTTCAACCAGATTCACATTCAAATTCAATTACATTAAAAATATATATAAATATTAGTATTAATATTAAACATTTAATTTTCTGTCTTCTGTATGCATGCCTATGTACTTACCGAATGCTCTCACATATCGAGGGTCCTCACTTTCATCATCATCCTCCTCATCTTTAAGTTGGTCTAATTACTACTGCCTAGTTTTTACTTCCAACAGATTGGCGCCATCTGTGGGAAAAGACACGAAAGACTATGTCGTTCTCCTTCTCGATTGCCCTCGGCATCCTACAACAAGTGCCCCTCAGCACTATTACATTCAGTACCCTCGGCACCCTTGTGAGCGCTGCCCTAGGCACTTCCTACAATCTGCTTTCGGCACCCTTACATCATTCGGCGTGCAATGTCTTTACATCCCCTAATGATTCGGCATCTGCCTCCGGCACTCTTACGTCATTCGCCGTGCGATGTCTTCACATCCCCCAATGATTCGACATCTGCCGTCGGCACCTTTGCGTCATTTAGCGTGCGATGTCTTCATATCCCCCAATGATTCGGCATTTGCTTTCGGCACCTTTGCATCATTCGGCGCGTGCAATGTCTTCACATCCCCCCAATGATTCGGCATATGCTTTCGGCACCCTTACATCATTCGGCATGCAATGTCTTTACATCCCCTAATGATTCGGAATCTGCCTCCGGCACCCTTACGTCATTTGGCGTGCGATGTCTTCACATCCCCTCAATGATTCGGCGTTTGCCTTCGGCCCAAAGCTTACAGCAGTTCCAAAGCTTAACACGACAGGTCCTAACTTACGGCATCAGCTCCCAAGCTTTCGACATCAACTTCCAAAGCTTACGGCGGCAGCTCCCAAGCTTTTGACATCAGCTTTCGAAGCTTACAGCGGTAGCTCCTAAGTAACGGCATCAGCTCCCAAACTTACGACAGCATGCTTACGGCAGCTCCCAAAGCTCCAACGGCATCTTCCAGCTCTTGCGTTGCCGAACGGCATCCCAAGGGTGACATTTCTCCAGCGTCTCTTCTCAAGGCCATGTCGAACGACACTTTTCACTTACGGCGCCAAGGCTACCTGCTGGCACGTCATGAAGAATAACGGCATCAGCTCCCAAGCTTTCAGCATCAGCTTCCAAAGCTTACGTCGGCAACTCCCAAGTTTTCGGCATCAGCTTCCAAAGCTTACAGTAGCAACTCCTAACTAATGGCATCAGCTCCCAAGCTTACGGCAGCTCCCAAAGCTCCAACGGCATCTTCCAACTCTTGCGTTGCCGAACGGCACCCCACGGGTGACACTTCTCCAGCGTCTCTTCTCAAAGCCACATGCTGAACGACACCTCCCATGAGATATCTCTTCATTTCTGCGCCAAGGCTACCTGCCGAACGGCACCCCATGAAGGAAAAGCGCATATTCTCAAAACTACCTGCCGAACGGCACATGAAGGATCTTCTACCTTACGACACCTTTTCTCAAGACCACATGCTGAATGGCACCTCATAGAGACATTTCTCTCTTACAGCGCCAAAGCTACCTGCCGAACGGCACCTAATGGAGAATCCTCTAAGCTTCTGGCGCCAACCTGCCGAACGGCACATGAAGAATCCTCTAAGCTTCCAGCACCTATGCCAACTACTGAACGACACCCATTATTGCAGCAACACCTTCAGCACTTACGATAATGCATGCCTCCAGTAGTTGTCATGCGACTCAATCTCCATACCCTCCAATAATTGCTATTCAGCACTCAGTACCATTACCTTCGGTGATCAGCGGGTACTGACTCAACAACTCTGCACTGTTGCTGCATATAAGAGAAAGCGAAGAAGAAGCTGAAGCATTGCTTGGGGGACTCCTGTTTGTACAATATCTGGCCAAGCACTCCCAAGCCAATCCAAGCAAAGAAAAGGGAGTCCCACATCGACAAAACATAAGAAGATGGGACTGTCCCTCACTTATAAAAGGAGACTTCTCTCCTTCAAGGAAGATGAGAGAGTTAGACAGGCTACTAGGGCACCATATGGCTCATAAGGGCCTCATGGGCTTACTCCTAAGCCCATTTACAAGCCCACGGATCATTTGCCCTCAACCAGATCCTCAGCTTTCGGCCCTCCGCCTTCGG